GAGTATTTATGTGTATGCTGGTTTGATCAAGTGAAGTTAACACGGACTGTGGACTCGTGTGTCAGTGCCGTGACGTCCACCGTTCATTCTCGAGGACGAGGCTGTTGATCTTGTGGTTTTCGACTCACGTGCCGGCATTTGTTTTGGAAAGCAGAGGAAAAGTACCGAAATGCTAAATACCCGAAACAATAAAGCCTGTATTCCCCCCCCCCCTCCTTTTTTCACTATCCCCTTAGATCAGCAACAACCACGTTTCTTTTTTTTCTTTTTTGTGTCCTCTGTGATGAAGGACGAATAAATATGCAGCTTTAAAAAAGGTGGGAAAAAAAACAAGAGAGTTGGTGGAGAAGCAGAGGCGAGCTTCAGATCTTTACAGTCAGATTCTCTGAGTGGGTCAAAGTTCCTCCAGCAGCTGGAGACGCGTTCTGATTGGTTGCGGAAAGGTGAAATTAAAACCACGGTAAACTTTTGACCTAGCAGGAACCGGGAGAGGAACGCCCATCGCTGTAGCGAGAGTGAGCTTCTCCCTCCTCCTCGCTGCTCTCCCACCAACCCACCCGTCCCCTCCTCCTCCTCTCTCTTCCCCCCTGTCTCGCTCTCTGTCTCACCCTTTCATTCCCTGTCTGTCATTCGCTCTTGTTTTGCTCTCAAACCATCTATCCGTCCCCGTCCCCCTCCCTCTTCTATCTCCAGCTCTCCTGCGCTGTCTCTCTCTCTCCCCCCCCATGAATTTGTGCCTTGCTGCATGTATAGCCGGATGAGACGGAGGGAGGCAGAGAGGGAGGCACAGAGCAGGAAAGAGCTGGGGGAAGGGTATAGAGAGAGGGAGGAGAAAGCCAGTGGAGGAGGGGGGGATGGGAGTGGAGACAGACAGAGGGAGAGGAGCAGTATAGAAGGAGAAGACACGGGGAGAGAAGGGCAGGAGGAATGCAGCCTTCTTGACTGTGCGCCGCACAAACTGTTCCCTGTTGGAGAGGAAGAAAATCTAAAGAGGAGTGAATGTATAAATAGACATGTAACCGTGGCTCTGACTAAGATCTGCTGAGCGGCAGGGCGGAGAGAGCCCATTTTTACTGCTAATGGTTTCTCTCATTACACATCAGACGGCTTGGGGGGGGGGTGTTTATGTGTGTGTGGCCGATATTAAATGATTTCATGAGCAAACTAAAAGAGCAGCCCTCTCGCTCGCTGCTTTCATGCCGCGTGCATGATCGTAGACACGCGGGCTTGCGGCTGCATGCTTTTGTCCATTAGCACATTTTTCTACTACTACAGAGCGCGTTGGAGTACCGTCTACTGTAACTGTACCTGCTGTTCACAAGTTGATGATCTCGTGGAGAGACGTCTCGAGTCGAAGTATCGGTATCGGGGCCGATCCCGGGCTTTAACGGATCGTTATCCGCTAAACTAAAGTGATCAAAATCTGATCCCCTCTTTACTGAACTCTGCTGAGTTTTAATCCGATTGTGTAAATGTTTAAAAAAATGATTTCGGCCCACCTCTGAGTTCTGACAGTGAGGTTGCAATAACGCATGGATTCGATGAGCGTAGCCACAACGCTAACAAATCTGTTAGCCTCTCTCTGTCCCAGCAAAGCTCAGAGCACAGAACATTCAGGCAGCAGCAGCTGACTGTCACGGTCAAGTTTAAAATGACAAGCGTTACCAGTGGTGCGTCACGTCAGCAAGCCAACATTTTACTTGGCTGTTGTATTGGTTCACATGCTCTAATGCAACACTGCAACAGGCTACAAGTCATTTTCTTCAGTGGAAGCCGGTGACATGAAGCTAAAAACCGATGCCTGACACTTGGGTTTAAAAGATTAAAGTTGAGCTGGTCGTTCCAGTGACGCAGTGAAGTGTCAATCAATCGTATGTTTTTGTTTCGCCCCGTTCTGTTCCTTAAAATGAATGTCGTTAGCCAGTTCTCAGTGCTACTTAACGTCATCTACGTCAACGAGCGCAAAGTAGCTGGCCAGCTATTGAAGATGGTCAATAACGTAACCGCCGACCCAGAGCTTTCCAACCCAGCCATGAAGGCACAGAAGACGTTGCTTGCTGTTAATGGGCCCTTAAGTGACACCTGATTTGAATGCTTCAGTTACGAGTGGACTTTTTCTTGTCCCAACAACTCCAATAAAAGGGATTCTTCTTCTCTCAGTAGTTTGAGTCACGTCAGTTTCAGGAGTTGCTTTATGCATCAGATCTTGATTATTAGGATCCAAGTAGCTTGTGAAGAATCAGGTATGTCAGTGTTGGTAGTCTACCGCTGTCTTTTAAGTAAATATAATGATTGTATCGTACTTGGTATCAGCAGATGCGTAATAATAAAAAATAAAAATAAAACTTGGACCTCACTAATCTAGTAATGATGTAGAAGTTATAATTGTCTTCCCCCTCTCGTGCTGCACATGTGCATGTGTAAATATAGCCTGATGCCTGTCATCAACGAGATGGCACATACGGAGAGGGCCGTCAGTTTTCAGATTCTAATGCGATTGAAATAATCCTTTTTGGTTCGGATTAAGCTCTACGATGAGCGCACAGCATCCGGCGGGGAAAGGTGTGGAGGAGACGAGAGCCAGAGCCGGTCGTCTGCGATGAGAGGAAGCAGGAGGAGGAAGAAAGAAGGCTTTTTTTTTCTTGGCTTTCTCTGCCAGTGAAAAATAAAAAAAAACACAGTGACTTAAGAGAGGAGGCTGTGGATGTTATTGAGTTAACAAGACGGAGAGGGAGGGAGAGCAGTGGGAGCTGAGAGACCGGCTCGATAGATGAGTGGATGAGGGCTGCGCTGTGGGGCTCTGCCTGCTCCTGCTGCACAGTGGGCACCATATGGTGCCGTAATGTATAGAGCGCACATCAAGTTTGTCCTGCCTCTCAAAGCCGGCTCCTTTTTTCCTCCCCCTACATCCTTCCAGCCAATTACGTCACTCAAGGCAGCCCTTTAGATAACACACACACACAATGCATCCACCCGCACCATCTTCAAGATACGAGGCTCCCCAACTATGTTTGGGTCTACACACAAACACACAGTTAGATAAGGGCCCCATCCCCCTCTAATGGGAATAAGGATTGATACCGACGGAAAAGAAAAAAGATTTCTCAAGATGTCACTCTGCTTCGCTGCTTCCTCTTTAAATATTGAAAGCAACTATGGTTTGTTTTCCCCCCCATTGTGTTGATTTTCTCTGATAATGCAAGTTTGCAGAAGCAGCAGAGCACAGAGGCGAATGAGAGGAGCCCCAAACGTACGGCTGATGCGTGCTGATGCGTGCTGACAGTGATGTGCGTGCAAGTGAATGCGAGTTGATTTTTCTGATTGGGGAATATTGTGTGCAGGGAGGGGATCGCTTTTCTCCCGCGCGCTGTCGTTCTGGTTTCAAGGTGTGTCGGCTGCTCTGTGACCGTGTTTGTTTGTGGGTGGTTATGCATGTTGCCAGGCAGCTTCCCTGCCTCTCCGGCATGTGCTCGTGTCCGTGGGAGTGATGGATGTCAGGCAGGCCCCTAATGTGATTTAGATGCTCCCCCTGGAGTGTGTGTGTGTGTGTGTGTGTGTGTGTGTGTGCGCACGCGCGTCCCGACCACATGTGTGCAGCTGAATCTGCAGTGTGTATGTTTGTGCATCTACCTCCCTCACTCTCTTTTTCTATCTTCTTCCTCCACCCCCATCATTTTTTCCCTGTGCTGTGCAGTTTTTGGATTCTGAGCAAATAAATAGAGGGAGGAGGGGGACAGGAAAGGGGGGGGGGGGTTATAAGTGGTGAATCTGCTTCCTCGCTGTCACCGCGGAGAACGAAAGCGCAAGGAAGGAGGCGATGAGGAAAGTAGAGGTGGAGGAGAAGATGGTGTTCTCTCGCTAAGACCTCACTGATGGGTTATTGTGAGCCAATTATGTTCCATTCCCACTGAAAGTCTCACACACTCCTAACACACTCACTCATCATCACACGCGTGCATCAGCAAAAGCAGTGCTCTTTCTCCTGGCAGTGAAGAGCAGTGAAGAGCTTGACTTTTATCTGCACGCAATTCTTTTTTTTCTTTTTTTTTAGAGAAAAACACCTTAACAATGACATACAGTTCTTTAACACCAACTACGCTCTCCTTTTTTAGTTTATTTTTTTTATTTTTTTCAATCGAGCTTTCAATCTTACATCACTGTCACCCATCAACTGTCGACTTAAAAAGTAAAAGTACTCATTCTGCAGAATAATTGCCCTGCCGAGTGTTATATTCTGGATTATTATTACTGATTAATTTAAGGGGTTAACATGATTTCACTATTAATGCAAGTTAATGTGGAGCTAAATGTAACTGATTCATAGATTTATTTATTGATGTCGGCAAGTCTAATCTTTAAAAACGCATCATTTAATAAGCTTATCATATTTCTTTCATGTACAATCGTCATCTGCTAAGTCACTCGTTGCTTTACAGTAACAAACACAATATTTACCTCATAAATGTATTTGAG